GCTGAGGAGGGTGACCTGTACCTGTGCCTGGAGCATGTGACATGCTGAGATCAGTAACCTGGCACCAGGAGGAGGAGCATGTTCTGCCCCATGCAGTTCATCCTCCCTTTTTTCCGTGTTTTACTTTGCTTTCTGGCTGTGCCATCAGACTGTGACAAAAAACCTGCAAAACCAGGCTGACCCCCGGCATCCAAGGGGTCACAGCCCCTGGGAAACACTGTTACCCCTCCTGCTGTGAGGGAAGTGCCCTCACAAGGCCCACTCCTCTGTGCATCCCCCTGAGGAGGGGACCCTCCTGTCCTAGAGCAAGCCGTTTGGCAGGCTTGGGCTAACCCTCATCTGTGGGACATTTGGTTACTGAGGCTGCAGTCTCTCAGAGCACATTCTCAATGTCTTAAGCTGAGCTATGGTCGGAAAAATGTGCCTTTTGTGTTGAAGACACCTTCCTCTGTGCTGCAACCCCCAGGGTGTCAGAATAGGGGGAGAGCGGCATCACCCTGCCCACCTAGCCTTGGACCAGTTTTCCTACCAGCAAGGTCTTCCAAATCTTATTGGGCTGTCCTAAGGGACAGAGTCTTGGGGAGGCGGGGTGGTGACAGTGGGGCTGGCTTTGGGGGGTCAGCAGCACTGTGTGTCGGCTGGCTGCAGCCAGGAGATAACCCGCAGGGGAGGGGACAGCCTCTACTGCCAGCTTGGGGCAGAACCCCGGGCCTCACCCGGATCCGGGGGCTTCTCCAAGCCGCAGTTTCCTGGAGTATCAGTTTTCTCCAGGCGTAGTGTGAAGGATGTCGAAATCACAAAATAACTTTGCTAGGCATGCAACCGGTGTGCTGCAGCACGAGAGGCACTCGCCAGGGAGGAAGAGACAGGCTCGGTTACGTCAGGAAGTGGCTGAGAAGGAATTAGGCAGGTTACAACTCGCCAGGTTGGACTTGGCCGCCCTCTCCTCCCGCAGCAGTGCACGCTTAGTTCGTATTTCCCCAGGCTCACTGGAGTTAAGTGCCGTGGTTCGGGGGGAGATGAAAAGTCCCACTTGGATCAGTAAGTGCTCTCTAGCATCTCGGTACCTTGTGAGATCAAGCTGAGGGTTGATTTTTTTGGGGCATCTGCACATCTCAAAACTATTCCAATAATGCTGCTGGTTTCGGTCTGTGTCCAGGCGAGGAACTCAATGCTCTGGTTCCCACCAACCCAGCAGGGAGCTGGCCTTGCACCAAAAGCCACTGGTCTCTGCACCGCAATTAAAACATACCTTTTTAATTCATGGGAACACTGCCCTTGCCGTCTCTTTGGCTCTGCAAAACCAAAAACTAAGTCAGGCTTGCTCTCTTAATCCTGCTTCGGGTGCGCAAGGCATCCTTGTACCTACAGGAAGGAGAGTCCATGAGAGCTATGAATAGGGTCTTACAAAAAACCCCGCTCATCAGGGGAATAAAAGCCAGATAAAGCAAGTAGCAATTTTCTGTGTTCAGTGGAAACTGATGCATATAATAGCAACATTTGAGATGCAAAAAGCTCTGTTTCCCCCCACTCCCCGCCCCAATTCCTTTCTTTCCTTGAGAATTGTTCTTGTGAATCGTAAAGGCCATGATATTTGTGAGAAGCTGAAAAAAAAAGATGGAAAAAACCCTTCTGCTTGGGGGCAGATCACTGCACAAAAGGCTGCGGGAGTGCCAGGGCTGAGTTGGCTGCAGCAGCCTGGGGTGTTTGCTGCTCTGCCTTCTCTTCGGCTGATACACAGAGGTGATCTGACTGCTGTTTTCTCCTTCCCAAATTGTTTTCCAGTTGCCTTCCTGTCAAAGCCTCAAGGCCTGGTTACTCCCAAGAAAAAAGGCAACGGGAATAAAAGAAGAAAAGGGAAAGGTCTTGGAAAGAAGAGAGACCCGTGCCTGCGGAAGTACAAGGATTTCTGTATTCATGGCGAATGCAAATACATCCGAGAGCTGGGAGCTCCCTCCTGCATGTGAGTTGCTGGCGTGTGCCTGTGCTGGGGGAGCCTTAGTCACGGTTCCTTC